ATTTTCTAGCAGAAAGGAGAGTTTGAAGATGGAAAATTGAGATTTATCTTACAGAGAGATGTGTGAGGGAATTTATCTGTTTTAACCAGAACAGCACGCTCTTTGGAAATCAGCTTGTCCCAAACGGTACACTTTTGGGTGAAGGTCGACTTTACCTTTCTGAAGATAGATCAGGTCGGCGTGAAGTCCTACTTCCAGCCACTTTCAGCGTCTCCGTTGAGAACAGCTAAAATACCTCGAGAGTCGTGCGAGGTTATCCAAACAGAAGTTATAATTCCCAAAATCGTCTCTGCATTCTGGATTCCAAGAACTCTGAACTCCTTCAGAACTCTGAACTTTTCTGGAACTCTCAAAACTCTGGAAACTCTTCCATCCTCAACTCCGAAACTCTTCTGTTGAACTGGGAAGTTGCCACATTTAAACGGCTATACTTCCGGTTCATTTGAGAGCTTCTGATTGGTGGATGGACCAGAACAGAGGTGTGGTTTGTGATGTAAGGTGTTATGGAAAGTCAAGGATTGTTTAAGAACAAACAGAAAGATATCATGGAACAACCAGACTTCGTGGTGCCCCCTCTCCTGTATCTTGCTGTAAAAGTTAAACATGACATTTCTTTTCAGTAAACTTTTTAGTTGACCGAAGCTCGAACTTTAACACACTTACAAATTTGCTCATTGAAGACAGAAAAATCAAGAAATGCATATTACCCTGATTTCTTCTTTGAATGAGGAATAAAAATCATTACTACTGTTTAAGTAAATAAAAATGAGTAGTTCACTTCAACATGTAAACATTGTTTGAACTAACACAATTTGATTATCAAACATTTGTAAAATAGTAATGATCATAGAGAATTGTCTTTTCCACTTGATTAATTCAAGAAAGAAAGTCTCAGGATGGGTCAAACTGTATTTCTGGATTCAAATCAATGAAATGACAGTTTCTGTCCATCTGGTCAGTTTTGACATATGCCTAGTCCACTACAGATGAATAAAGAACAAAATAAACAGCTGACGTGGCAGCAAAACTTACATGAAAACAGAAGGCTCAGAGGGAAACTCAGGAAGGACTCAGGAAGGACTCAGGAAGCTCAGGGAAGACTCAGGAGACGCAGGAGAACACAGGGACCCAACGAATACGACCCGACAAGAAACAAGACAGAACAGACGGCTTATTTACAGAGACAAGACGAGACGTAATTACAAACAGCTGTGACGAGACAAGGGTGGCACCAATTAAACTAAAGAGAAATCAATAGAGAAACACAGACACAAACCGAGCCACCAAATGGTACCATCCTTAGTTTTATTGTGTGTTTACTTGACTGATGAAGTCTTCCGGACCGAAGAAGAAACATTTCAGCACAAAAAATAAAATAAATAGTCCAGATGACCTGACTGAAAAATGTTGGATTGTATACCTGGATTTTTGAGCATGGACTTTGTTGTTTTCATCCAGTTTGACAAGACTGTCAACAAGGAAGAGGGCCGGCAATGAAGGACGGGGCATACAAAAGAGGCCATCTAATCACAAGCAGAACAAATTTGTTCCACTTTGGAATAAGCTGTTAGGGGAAGAATCAGTTTTTTTTTCCGTTTCCTTGACTGATGAAACCTTCTGGACCGAAGGCGAAACGTTACTGAACAAAAACAATTGTCCAGATCACCTGACTGACAAATGTTGGATTGTATACCTGGATTATTGAGCTCGGACTTTGTTATTTTCAACCATTTTGAAAAGAATATCAAGAAAGAAGAGGGCCGGCAGTGGAGAAGGGGGCATACCAAAGAGACCATCTTATCACAAGCAGAGCTGGTTGATTTCACTTTGGAGTATGCTGTTGAGGGAAGAATCGGTTTTCTTATGTTTCCTTGACTGATTAAGCCTTCCGACCCAAGGCAAAACATTTTAGCACAAAAAAAAAGAAACTGTCGAGATGACTTGACTGTAAAATGTTGGATTGTACACCTAGATTATTGAACATGGACTTTTTTGTTTTCAACCAGTTTGACAAGACTGTCAACAAAGAAGAGGTCTGGCAATGGAGGAGGTGGCATACCAATGAGACCATCTTATCACAAGCAGAACTGGTTTGTTCCACTTTGGAGTAAGCTGTTGGGATAAGCATCAGTTTTATTGTGCGTTTCCTTGACTGATATAGCCTTCTGGACAGAAGGCGAAATGTTTCAGCACAAAAAAAAAAATAAACTGTCCAGATGACCTGACTGAAAAGTGTTGGATCGTAAACCTGGATTACTGAGCATGGACTTTGTTGTTTTCAACCAGTTTGACAAGAATGTCAACAAAGAAGAGGACCCGCAATGGAGGAGGTGGCATACAAACGAGACCATTTTATCACAAGCAGAACTTGTTTGTTCCACTTTGGAGTAAGCTGTTGGAGGAATAATCAGTTTTGTTATCTTTTTACTTGACTGATGAAGCCTTCGGGATGCGAGGTGAAACTTTTTAGCACAAAAAAAAGAAACTATCCAGATGACCTGAGTGAAAAGTGTTGGATTGTATTCCTGGATTATTGAACATAGACTTTGTTGTTTTCAACCAGTTTGACAATACTGGCAACAAGGAAGAGGGCCAGGAATGGATGAAGTGGCGTTCCTTAGAGATCGTCTTATCACAAGCAGAGCTGGTTTGTTCCACTTTGGGGTATGCTGTTGAGGGAAGAATGAGATTGGTTGTACGTTTCCTTGACTAATGAAGCTTTACAGACCCAAGGTGAAACATTTCAGTACAAAAAAAAAAGAAACTGTCCAGATGACGTGACTGAAACATGTTGGATTGTATACCTGGATTACTGAGCATGGACTTTGTTGTTTTCAACCCCTTTGACAGGAATGTCTACTAAGAAGAGGGCCAGCAATGGAGGAGGGGGCGTACCAAAGAGACCATCTTATCACAAGCAGAACTGGTTTGTTTCACTTTAGAGTAAACTGTTGAGGGAAGAATCAGTTTTATTGTGTGTTTCCTTGACTGATGAAGTTTTCTGGACCCAAGGCGAAACGTTTCAGCACAAAAAAAAAGAAACTGTTCAGATGACCTGACTGAGAAATGTTGGATTGTATACCTGGATTAATGAGCATGGACTTTGTTGTTTTCAACCACTTTGACAGGAATGTCTACTGTTGTGGATAGAATACCACGTCGTGTTCAAAACGGCGGAGGCGTCG